AGCAGACCCACTTGTTCCCTGGATTTCAGCCAGGAAACAGCACAGGGAAGCTGGTTCAGTCTCTCTCCCTCTCTCTGAGATCCACAGACCATTCCTACTTTTCCCCTCGCTTCTCCAACAGAAAAGAAAGCAAACCCCGGGTTGTGGCTGCCAAGGCTTTGTGGGCAAGTCAAAGCAGGAAAAGGGGAGAGGAAGCAGCAGAAAAATAAACATTTCCTTGCATTTTGCTGGAGTGCTGGGCCCTGGCTCTGTGGTGCTGCAGGTGCTGCTCTTCCTTCCATTCCAAAAGCAGGGCTGAGGGGCTGGTGCTTTCTTACCTGGAGAGGGCTTGGGGTACATCCTGTGGAAAAACACCAGGAGGGCGTAGAAGGTGAAGGCCAAGCATCCAAAGATCATCCCACAGACCAGGAAACTGTAGCTGCCCCGATCATGGATAATCTGCAATGGGAAGGGAAATGGGAAAGGGAGCAGACATCACTCAGATACCTCAGGCAGGGGGGATAACTCGAGGGTCAGGCAGTGCTTCTTCCCCAAAACCAGGACCAAAGTTTTGACTTTAAAATTCCAGTCGTTTTTTTTTGCCCTTTCTTGCCTACTCACCGAGCCCACCAGCAGCTGTAGGACCATCTCCCCAATCCCAGCTCCAGTCACCAACACGGTCGTGGCACAACCTGCAAGGAAACAGTGCAAGGAACAGGTGGGACAACCAGCAGGATCAGCTTTAAACTGCTCTTCCAGGGACCTCCCAACACAAGAGTTCCAAATACTCAATGCACGTCCCCACTTAACGTTGAAAATGCCTCTGCTCACCTGCAGCAGTGCAGAAAGGGAAAAGTTTAAGCCAAAAAAAAAAACCAACCAAATCTCCCTATCCCTTGTCTCTGTTGGCAGAGGTGATGTTGCTTCTTGCTGGAAAGATTCTCATTTTTCTGTCTCACTGCCCCTGAGACAGAGGTTGGCAGAGCCCTCCTGGGACAGCTGGCCAGACTCCAGGGTTTGCAGTTCACTGATAATCTGATGATGTTTTCAAAACTTATCTCCCTGTAAAACCCCTAAAGCAGCACTCGTGTGAGCCTGAGATCCCCAAAGCTGCAGGAGAGCAGGAACCAGGCTGGATCCCTGCCTGGGGAAGTTATTAGCCAGCCAAGCAGGGCTTGTTACAGTCTGGGTTGGTGACTCCAAGCCTGAACAAACAATCCCAAAGCAGCTCTTGCTTCCAGGCCTCCTCCTGGGCACCCCTGGGGAGGGAAGGAGCTGCTTGGGGTGATGGTATCTGAGCACCCAGGGGTGTTCCCAAATCCCTGCTCACCTTGGTACTGCAGGATGTCCTCGGTGTAGGCCAGCATGCTGGGGAAGGTGCTGCTCAGGAACAGCCCCAGGGATGCCGTGCCCACGAACAGGAAGACGACGCTGGAGGAGAAAATCAGCAGCAGGAGGAAGGTTATGAGGACCCCAACCTGCGAAAAACACACGTGGAGTGAGAGAAATGCTGGGCTGCAACAGGCTCTGGGGTTTATTTCTGATAGGAAAAATAGCCTGGAAAAGAAAACAGGCTGAGAAAAGACCAGTCTTTGAGAAAATGAAGTCACTGCACAAAAAAATCCGTCTGGCTTTAAAGAATTTGGTAATTTTTTTATAGCAGGAATTTATAATATAACTCAGTTTTATGTCTCAACTTCCTTACATAGAAACTTAAGATTGTACCTGAAAAAATGCTTATTGATATTTAATATTTTAAATAATTGCTGTAATAATAATAATGACTTGTGGCTAGGCTTTGCAAACGAAGATTTGGGAAATAATAATTAATAATAAAAGGTGTGTAAATATCAATACATAACATTGAATAAAATAATAATTAATACAGTAGTACTGCTCCTCCCATGATATTTACCTATTTCAATCGCTAATAATTCTTTAACCTGAGTAAGATTTAACAGCTGAATGAGACTTAACTCACTCTCAAAGAATTAACTCTCAGGGCAGAGTCAGCAGAGGGAGCTCTGAGATTCCAGCTCGTACTGAATTAATTGTCTCGGCTCTGATTGGGGCTCATTTGCATGAGCTCAAGGGAGATTTGGACTCCGAAGAAGCTGAATTGGAGCTGCCGTTCGTGTGACCCTGCAGTGCCAGCTCCCAGCGCTGCACAGGGGGCAGTGCCAGCCAAGGGAATTTTTACCCAAAATATCCCAAAATGTCTCTTCTCACCACCCTGTGCTCGGCCTCACGGTATTAGCTGGGCAACTCACCACCAAAACAACTTCTGGGTTAAATAAATTGTAAATTAAATGCCTTCTCACTCCTTTCTTCTTCTTCCTAAGAAGTGGGAATGGGATCATCTCCCTCCCTGTTGTCCTTACACATCCTGAAGGGATTCCTTCCCCTTTCTCCAAGGGAATGTGTGTCACTAATTTAAGCCACCTCACACCACGCTGGTTTCTCTGACAACTGCTGCAGCCTAAGCAGAGAATTTATGGAATGATCTGCCTTCCCTTTCCCATGGAATTAACCCCCCTGTGTGCAAAGTAAACGAGGCTGGCAGACACCTCCCTGGGCGCTTCCCCAACTCCAACACCGGGTTAACCGAGGAGTTTGGGCTCTGCAAAGTTCCCCAGCCAAGTTTTAAGCCAGAGAGGAGCTGGAGCTCCGAGACAGCACAGTGGGGTTAAACCAGGGCTAAAGCAGCCTAAACCCAGCCTTACCACGTTGATGAAGACCATGGTCGCCGGCTTCATGCGGTAGGACACGGGGATGGAGATGAGCCTGCCCAGGGTGATGAAGCCCCAGAAGAGGCTGGGAAGGTACCCGGCGACCTTGTGCAGCACGGCCAGGGGCTCCTCCACGGCGTAGCTGTACACGAAGCCTGAGTACTCCCCCTGCAGGGAAACAGAACATCCCGTCACAGGGCGGGGATTTAACCTGTCCCTCACTCGTTCGTGGGTGGAGAGCCACGAAGGAACCTGCTCCCAAGGCTTGGCAGCTTCCAGCAGAAGCAGAACACGGGGCTTAACCTTAGTCCAGACTCAACAGCAACGGCAGAAATGCACGCTGAGCTCTGTCTGCAGAGATTCTCCCTCCCCCAGGGGCTTCCCTTGTCCTTCTGGAATTCCATCCTCTCCAGACATCACATTTAGAACCAGGAGTTGATCATCCCTGAAGATGATCATTCCCATCCCTGTCAGCTGCTGTGTAACCCCACTCACCTCAGCACCCTCATTAACACCCTGCTAAGACCCAGCAGTGTTTTACCATGAGACAAAGAAAAAGAACAGCATCTTGCCAGCCAAGAGAGAGCCTGCCCTGCCTGGACAGACATGCCACATGCAGCAAACCCCAGCCAGGGCCAGGCTGCCAGGCCACTGCAGGGCTACACCAGCCCCACGTGCTCTCAGCATGGATTTTGGGGGCTCAGGAGACCCCTCAAGCAAAGAGCCACCATTTCTTCTGAATCAAAATGAAGCCTCTTGGCTGAAGAGAGAAGAGACCTCTGCTGAGCAGACAACACAGCAATCCAGCTGCAACACCACAGAGCCCAGGAGGAGCCAAAAAAGCCTCCCCAGAAGCAGGACACGCATCAGCCTGGCTGGGATCAGCTTGGAACGATCCTGAGCCCCAGCCCACTGCCTGGCAGACCCTCGTGTCCAGCCCAATGCACGTGCTGGGGTTAGGCTGCTCCAAGAGGTTTGGGAGGAAGAAACCACAGAGCTTTGCTCAGACAAGACCCCTCTGTCAGCTGAACTCACCACAATCCCATCAGTCATGAAGAGAACGAGAGCCCCGGTGATGTGGACTGCGAAGTAGGTGTAGGAAGCCCCTCTGAAGTTCCTGCTTTGGCAGCAGCTCAATAAGTCGTCGTGACCTGGTGGAAAACAATGCAAAGCAAACTCAGCTGGGGGGTCTGGGTGGTTGCCAGCCCTCGGTGGGGATTTGTTTTGTGCCCAGATTCACTGTGGATGTGGGGCACTGCTGACCTTGGCTGGCACCACCTCAGCTTTACCCACCTCTGAGCTTTCAGCAGGCAGAGGGATGTGTTTTTGGGCTGCTGTCCACAGATTGGGATCCCAGCTCTCCAGGGAACCTGCCACCCCTCTTACTGTAGCTGCTTGTGCTCCTCTTCCCATTTAGGGGCCCCACATTGCTGGCCCTGCTCTGACAGGCAATAAACCCAAGCCCACCCAACCACAGCACTCAGAGCCCCTCACCCCTGGAACCTCCACCCAGGAGTGGGTTTATCCCAAATTCCTGGGATAAATAATATTTAACCAAACAGGCCAGCTTTGGGAAAGAGAGTATTAAACACCCACAGCTCACTGTCACCCCATCTGAAGAGACCCCTGAGAGCCTGGCAAAGCTGGGGGGTGAGGACCCCAGGAATTCCCACCCTGCCCATCCTTGTGCTTGTAGCACAACTCCTCTGGGGTGGGTAAGGGGCTGGCATTGAGGTGGCAGCACGTGGAGCCCTGTGCAGGTGAGATTTGCTCCTGCATGGCAAGGATGGAACTGTCCCTGCTGTGGGGCAGGAGGGGTTTCACCAGCACAGATCCCAGATCCCAGCAGTGAATTTACAGCCTTCCCCCTTCCCTAAGGGTTAATCCCAGCTGCATTTAAGAGGATGATGGGGATCTGAAGACATGAAGCTCCAGTGGGTTGTGGGACACTATCAGGTGTTATCAGACAGCAGGGAATCCCCTCCATCAGGGACAC